GGAAGAGAATATAGATGAGAGATCCCAAATTTAAAATTACTCACTTACACTAAAAAAAAAAAAAAAAAGGGCCGAACACAGTTTTGGGCCAACGCAATTTCGTCCATGTTGTGACAAACTAGGAACGATTAATAGCATTTACTTCTTTGAAAAAGAAACTAAACTTGCGGTGACATTAGCTTAATTAACATGAGTTATCTTATATACCCTTTGGGGTTGCGATGCTTTTACTAAAAAAGTGCTTTTAAAAGACAAAAGTATTTTTAAATGACTAGCAAGTATCGTTTCTTGAATTTAGGAGCAGAGTTTTTGACCAATAAAGCACTTTTGGCATAAGTTAAAAATTGGTGCTTTTAGAGCAACTTTTATATTCCAAAAAAAAATAAAAAATTAACTTTAACAATGTTATTATTCCATCTGTCTCATTTTGATAGTTCTAGTTTTTTCACACAGTTTAAGAAAACAGTAGTTAACTTTGTTAGAAAAACAAATTTAGATTGCTATTTTCCTAAAATACCCTTACATTAAATAGAGTACAACTTTATATTAATTATTCATAAAACTTGAATTGATGGTTTATAGGAACTTGAATTGATGGTCAAGAAAGAATCAATCTCATTTTATATTATTTTACATTAAATCTAAATGTATTAAATGGGGTAGATCAACAATCTATATTAAATAAGGTAGTTCATACTAATAACAACCTACATTGAATAAGAATATTTTAGATAAATTAAAAAATAACTACATTCTTCAATTGAAAAGTGGACTATAATTTGGGACAGACGAAAAAGAAAAACAGGACTATCAAAGTGGGACGGAGGGAGTATAAATTTTGAGCTAAATGAAGAGATAAATATGTTTTAAAAATTCAAAATTTCACATTATCAAATCGGAAAAGTACTTATGCAAGTATGTATCCAAACAATGTGATTAAGCATTTCACAAGTACTTTGATAAGATTAAGTGTTTTTTTAATAAGTTATCACAATCTCAAACGAACACTTATTCTAATCTCAATCTCACCTCATAATGCTTCACCTCTAATGTTTAGAGTCTTACTTGAACAAGTGGATACTAAAATTTAACTTGAACAAGTTAAGAGAAGCATTTTTTTTACTTTTTTTTCCACCTTCAATTTTCTTTGTGAATCAGTTTCGTGGTACAGAAAAATAGTTAGCCTCTGTCACACCTCTTCTAAAAATTACTTGCAGGACAAGACAAGCCCGAATAATTGTGGATATAGCTCTTTCAAGTCCAATTACCTCTGGAGGCCGTAGCCAAAAAGTTTTCCTCTCTCCAAAGTATCCCAGAAATTCTCAGTGTGTCCTTTTGCTTATTCTTTCCCATAGTGTTTATGTTTTTGCTCCCTGGTGAAATGAATCGTATCTTTTGTTTTCTTTTTCTTTTTTATGAATCGTTTCTTGTAGTATGAACTTGGCAGGACTGAAACAATTTACTTGGATATAAATTTGCAGCTTAAGAGCATTGCATATATGGAATGCGGATTAGAGCTTTCCCTGTTGAAAAATTGCAGGGACTCAATATATGGATGAAGAACCTAACTTGTAACCGTTTGCTACCAATTAAGTTCTTTGATGATTTTTCTAGAAAATGTGTTCGGAATCTTTTTTTAAAAAAGTACGTTTTAAATTTTTGAGGGATTAAAATATTTAATTTTGTATTTAAGGAACTAAAATTTTAACATCAGTAAAATGTGCTCGGAATCTTTTTTTAAAAAAGTACGTTTTAAATTTTTGAGGGATTAAAATATTTAATTTTGTATTTAAGGAACTAAAATTTTAACATCAGTAAAATGTGCGAAGGACAAAAAAGAGCACGTCTTAAAATTTGTGAGGGACTAAAATACTTCATTTTGTATGTAAAGAACTAAAATTTATTTTAAGGATTAATCTTTTTACATATACACTGTCAGCGTTGGATGAATGACAAATATGTAAAATTTGAATTTAAAATTCAACTTTTACACACATATCAGTGTATATAAAATTTACTCAAATTTTAATATCAGTAAAATGTGTGAGGGACGATTGGTATCATATTCCCTCTATATTTTAATTATGTTTCCAAGATTCATATCTCCAACATTTGGTTTAGATCTTGCTAGAATGTCCAAATAATCTCTCTGCTTGTAGATGACTTTCTTAGAATCCAGAGCATTGATTAGAAAAGCACAATCCAATTGTAATTATCTTACATGCAACTATTGCCTACCAAGCATCATGTTTAATCCTAACACAATCACAATTCACAAACACATTCTCTCTTATTGTAGCTATGTCACTTCAACCAATGAGCCAAACCAATGTCTCAAACTCAGAATGTTCTTGCAAAATTTCTGCAGCTGCTAACCATTTGAACCCCCCAAGTTGACATGTAAGAAAACAATCAAAGGAGAAGATGAATCTACAGTTGCATTCAGCTCCTCGTTTTGCTCTAAACTTGAGAAGCAAGGGTTAAAATTCATTGGTTGATTGCAAATAAATTGTGCTAATCAAACTGTTTTACTTCAGATCAAGTATTTTGCAGCAGAAAGCTAAAACCCAGGATTCCTCCAGATGCAAACGTGTTCTTTTTACAGATTGCTATTCCGTATGACTATTATGATCCAAAATCAACTCCAAACTAACATGTTATCCTGACTAATGCAGATTTCATATCATGGAATAATCGAAAATGAATCCAATTAATTTCAGCTTCGATGAACAAAATGAGTACATCACTAATATGGATTGCTCGTAAGCAACTCTGTTTAGGCACGAAAAAGGATTACATATCATCGGACTAAAGGCTCGCCATTTGCCAAAATAAGAAGAGGCAATCTACTGGAATTCTTGCAATGCAAATGCAAAGGAACAAGAAGGAAAAACAAAAAGCATTCAATGCATCCCATTGATCAAATAATAGTTTTTCCCTGCCAAGAATCCTACATCAAAGTTGAAGCACCTACTTATGACAATTTCCAGAATCCAGAACCGTCAAAAAACATAATGAAAACACAGCTTCAAAATGGCCGAAGTAAGCTATAAAAGTATAAAACATAACCATCATTACAGCATAGCAGCATTCTTACATGATTCTACTAGAATGGCATGAAGATAATAATCACGGTAGTCCACAGTGGCTAAAACATATGCAGTCATAAGTTTAACATTTTACACGGATCAAAAAAACCAAGCTATTACCAACTCCTATGGAGGTCGATTGTCAGAAAGAAAATGCTTGACAGTTGCGTAAACAACTTCAGACCTTAAACTGAAGCAAAAGTACCAACATGTTGGTAAGCCTCATACCATCTGTACCACTTGCTATTGCCCCGCTCATCAACGTTAGAACACACAGGCCCTACTTCAACAAGCTCCTTCACAAACACACGATTAATATCATACAAGATGAATTTACCCTTTAGTGAAATCACAATCCTTGCATTCTTCCCTTCTTCATCCGCAATAAAACAGGGTGTACAACAACCACAACTCTTCATCTCCGGATAATACGTAACCAAATGAGAAAAATCAAACCGATACTTTACAACCCATTGAGAATAATCCCTCTTCAGCTCAAAAACATCGGACAACACAGCAGTGTTAATTCTGTTTAGATAAATTGCATACAGATTCCCCCCTGTTTCCCCAAAATACTTAATATCCCATTTGCCCATAACCTCCATCCTAATCGGAATTCTAGGCATGGATGGTCGAAGGCACTCATTTTCGACATCAAAGCATAGAGTACAAAATTTTTTTCCCATAAAATGGACGTCCCCATTCCAAAACACGCCTTTATCAAAATAACAGTCACTATCAAAAGTCCCGGCAACTGCAGCGCCACCAACCCTCCAAACCCCAGATTCAGATGAGTAAATAAAAAATTGGAGACCACAGTCAAAACTGACACCAAGAAGTTTGTAGTAGTCAGATCTTAAAGGGTCAAAAGCTATACTAGTGTATCGAACTATAGGCGGCGAATGACTTCCCTCATTTGGCCAGGGGATAGTCCTATGCTCAGAGGTTGTGGGGTTGTACACAATTAGTTCTATTCGAATATAATTCACCATAAACTGAATGCATAGCAATCCATTGCAAGCCTGTAAACTTATAATCCGACCTTCGAGGGAACGTCGTAAACGGGAACTTAAATTACCCACCGAATCCAACCCATCTCCGGAAAGTGAAAGCAAATCGATCTCGTTCGGCTTGATATAAGGACTGAAAAAGAGGAAATCAGACGTCGGGCAGCACCTGATACTACGTATATGGCGGCGGCGGAATTCGGGGTCGGAGATGATGGTTCGCCATTGCCTGGAGACGCATCGAAAGCAGAGGAGGGATTTTGCGGGTAGCTTGAGTAAGATGTTGGTTAAGAGATCTTCATTGTTGGTTACGAGATCTTCACTGTCGGCTATGGTGATCGCTGATGACGATGGGTCAAGTGGGATTTTTAGGACGTTTTCTTGATTTTCCTGGATCGGTTCTTTTGATGGTGAAGAAGGGAGGCGAGTTGACGGGGAAGCGGAGGAATTGAGGGAGATTCTTTTTGGGTTTTGTATGGGTTTAAAGCGGGAGGTTTTTGCTGTTTTGCCTCCAGGAAGCATTTTGGAGCAGCAGTAGTGGTAGGGGATTTAGTTGCTTTGTTGGATATATATTTTAGTATAAGATAAAATATATAAAAAATATTAAAAAATTTAAAGAAGTGTATATTTTTGTAAACATCAAATTTTTATCAATTTTTAATATTTTCTTAAAATTTTATCTATTTGATAAATTATTATTATTATTTTTTTTAATATATATTAATATGTGATTTTCTCATTTTTATAGATTTGTTTTAAAAAAAAAAACACAAAACAAAAGAAAAAAATCAAGAAATCAAAAATTATTTTCATCATTTCCCCTACCAAAACAACTATTAACCCATTCCACGCTAAATTGTCATGCACTTTTCTTTTCATTAGCTAAGAAATCGTCATTTTGGCAAATCCAACACACAAACTCCTCTTTTTCTCTCCCAATACTCACTCTCTCGGCTCTCTCTGGGCTAAAAAAAATGGAACAGACAAGAAGAAAAAAAGCACTCAATCTCCCTCACTCTGACTCTCAGCTCTCTCCATCATCAGAGAAGCCACAAAGAAAAAAGAAAATCTCCATCCATCTCGGCTCTCTCCCTCAAAAGAGGAAATAAACAAAAAAAGCATTCTCCACTCCCCACTCTCGGCCCTTTCTTTGGTTCCCAACACACTCACACACAACTTCAAACAAGAACAAAAAAAAGAGGGACAGCTATCGGTTGGACAATTAGAGCTTGGAACTTCCTCAAATTTTGGTCAAGGGACCATAACCCTCATTGAGGTATTTTTTCCAGCTTTTTTTTTTAATTAATTAGATTAAATGCATGTTTGGTTACCTATTTGTCTCTTTCTTTCATTGATTTTGTTGTTATTGTGGTGTTGTTGAAGTTCTTGGGACAAGCCTGCATAAAATTAAGGAAAAAAGAAACGGTGCTGTGAATGCATGCCAAATGTTTGAAAAAATGTCTAAATGAAAAACGAATCAAAGGAGTGAATTTGGCGTGTATGTTTTGCTCAAATGGATGACCATTAGCTAGCAAAGATCTGAAAATGTTGGGTTATCTAAATATTTTGGAGTTTTGAGCTTTAAAGGCATGGAAGTATTTTTCTTCATTTAGGGGCTGTTTTTGCTTTAATTTAGCCTTTTTATGTTGTTTCTTATCAAATAAAAATCATGGTTGTATTGTAGAAGTTGTAAGAGTGTTGTAGTATAATTTTCATGATTTTTGGTGAAGGTTTAAGGGGTTAAAAAAAAATAAAACCGTGACTGTTTTTTGGCCATTTGACCACTTTTCTTTCCTTTTTTGTAAAAAATAACTCAGGAAATGGAACCTACGCGAAAAATCGAGTGATGGGGTGTATTTTGAGAAAATTTGGTGACCGGAGAGATCGCCGGCGGCGTTCCGGTGGTGGTGCCGCCGGAGGCAACCATGGCCGCCAGAGGGAGAAACTTCAGCGTCTCAGTGGAAGAAGAAGAAAGAAAAGAAGAAGAAGAGGAGAAAGAAAAGAAAGAAAAATGGCTTGGGCTAATGTTTTATCTTCGGTTGGGCAAAGAGTTAGTTTTGGTTGGGTTTTGGAAATGGTTTTGGTTTATTTCTTTTGGGTTTCTATTTGGGCTAGAAGGCCAGACCCATGCTTTATTTTTGGTTGGGTTTGAAGACCGGCTGGCCTGTGTGTTTCGGCTTGGACTTTCGGCTGGGCTTAGGTAGTTTGTGGCCCAAAGAAATAAATAATGGCCCAGTGGCCTGTTTTCTTAAGAAGATCTGGTTATGATTTGCACTTTGGCCCCTGATCTTTGGAGTAGTTTTACTGTGGCCCATAACATTTTAAATTTCTTTCATGTAGGTCCTTATAATAATTTTACTTTGGTCCCTGAATTTTATCTTTTATTTAATTTTGACCTCTGAACTTTGGAAAATATATTTATTGTCCCCAAAAGTTTTTCAATTTTTGCAATTCAATCCCTGATGAATTTTGACTCTCTTTATTATGATTGTTTCTTTTCTTTAATAGCTAATTATGCTACTTTTGAATATACTTAACTTGGAATTTTTAGATTTGCTTAAATTTCTTTACGTCTGACATATTAGTGTGAATTTAGTACTTGTATTATTATTTTCTTTTTCAATTAAATTGGTGCTATGATCCTCTTGTTCATTGTGAGTATAAATAGGATAATTTGACTCCATTTAGTCACCACTTCAAACGGGAGATACTCCTATTTTTATTATTTTAATGTCAATTATGTGCTCTTATATGCTCCTATGTGTTTATATATTTTTATATGCTTTATTTATTTGATTTAAATATTCATTCAAATTTTCTTATATATGTTTTAGTTAATTTTTATAATGATTTGAGAGGCATTTAAATACCTCAAAAATGTAATAGATAGGATAATTAAATTTGTTTTATTATATTTTTCCCTTTTAGATTGTAGTTGGGCACTCCCCGATGTAATAGATAGGTTGCGTGTTTATGTGGCTTATGTGTTATGTGTTTTATCCGCTTTTCTTAGGATTTTGACATCTAGATATCATGTTTACGTGTTATGTGCTACGTGCTCTTATGTGTTTATTTGTTTTAATTTATACTTTATTTGTTTCACTATGAATTGTTAATGCATGACGTCACCACACTGGTCCAACGCTAGTTGTGGCTTCTCCCTCCGCTTACTTGTTAGTCTAACGCTAGTAAGGATTTTTAGAAATGGGTTAATCCAACGCTAGACCCTTTAAGTCGTCTTGCGCTAGATTCATCTTTGTATGCTATTCACTACATTTTCATGCATATTTTCATTTTTAGGATCTTTTCTCATTTGCATGATATTCCTTATTATATTATCTTATATCTCCTACCCTCTATATGTGTTAATCATATCATTTAGAATTGCATCTCATTTAAACTAGTTCATTTGCTTGTTCATGTTAGGATAATTAATTTTCAAACATGGAAAATGGGTGATTATAATTTTTTAGTTTAAATATCCTATTAATCTATGTATAAGAAAATTATGTCACGAGTTTTTGCCTCCTGTATCCTTTATGTAGCATTTCCTTTTTCTTTGATCATTTATATATATGTATATAATTTAATTTTTTTTCTTTTATTTTAATTTCATCATTTGCATTCTCGTGACACTTTCAAGGAATCATTTTGGCCTTCGCAATTAATGCGATTGGTTCGATTAAACCCTTGAATGGATATTTTGACCCTTTCGATATTTTATAAATTTATATTTGTATCCATGTAGGAAATATCCAAATATGATAAAATTAAGGGTTATATTAGGAAAATTGTGACTAAACAACTAGCTTAGACTAGGTTGAAAGGGTGTCTTAGGTTGAGTCAATTGAACATTTGCATTTCCTTTTTTCAACCGTGACTTCCGAACCCATTTTCTATTGTTTTCAAAGACCTGGAGTTGTCAAAAAGGGTTTTGATTTATTTTATTTTTTGTCAAAAATATTTTTTGGGTGATTTGGTACACCAAAATTCCATACCAAGTGGCGACTCCTATTTTTTTTAAAAAAGCCCTTTTAGACTAAATTTTTTGGATCCAAATTGTTGCATTTTTTAAGTCTCATTCTAGGCTCTTTTTTACTTATTTTTAAATACAATCACACCTTTTTATAAACAATTTCTTTTTCATCGCGAAAAATGAGGCGCGACATGCTTAACATGTTAAAAAAAATTTATTTTTTAAGTACAAAGTGGACTTTCTTAATTTTAATATCTTAAATAAGTTGAAACCAAATTTTGTTAACCTATTGTTTGTCAATATATGATAATAATTTTAATAAAATAATTTAATTTATACTGATTTATATGATAGAGCAATTGTAAACTTATTTATCAATATATCATGTTATACCCATATATCAAAATTTTCAACATTAAAAATAGGATAAAAAACAAAAAAGCCCACTGTGGTAAATCTAATATACAAAAAAATCCTCCATAGCTTTAAAATATACAACACGATACACAGTACTTTGAACTAAATTGTAAAAGTGACGGAATCCGTTAAACTTAACGGAAATGGATGAAATGATCAGAATGTCCTGATATAATTAAACAAAAGACAGATAAAAAAATTATTTGTTTTATTCTCTAAATAGAGAGAATTAAGGGTTAAGGGATATAATAGGTATATTTGTTAAAAATTAAATATACATTTTTTTTTTAGATTCCAATAAGTCATTTGCGTCAAGTTTAATGGATTCCATTACCTATACAATTTAGTTCAAAATACGGAGTGTCATGTTGTATATTTTGAAACTATGGGAGGCTTTTCTATATATTAGATTTATCACAAGGGTTTTTTTGTAGTTTACCCTTAAAAATATAAAGTATAACTAATTCATTTTCCTTCATTTTAGAAAATTTTTCTCTCATTTTATAATCCTAAAATTGTTGAGTGCTTATATAATAATGTTCTTCATAAATTTTAATATATATTTAAAATAATCTTTGTAAGATGTGTTTCAAAAATTTCAAAATTATTAAAAACTATCACCCTTTATATTCTCTCTTACCCGCTAATTAGCTATTCGCTGCCTTCTATGACTTTCAGATCTTTTATCACGGTGCCATCTTTCCTGTCATATCTATACAATCTCATTCTTTTTTCTCCCCTCTCTTCGTCCATTCTTGTAGTAATTTATCTTTATTTTTCAACTTTTCCCACCACTCTTTAACTTCTTATTATTCTCTTTCTCTTGTTTATAGCTAATCTCTAACTTTCTATTTTTGTTACCCAACTTTCTATTCTTTTCCCTTCACCATTCTCTCAAACCCTATAAATTCATAATTTGTTTTTAGGCTAGTGGTACTTTGTTTTCTATTTAGTAATTTCATAATTTAGGATTCACAAATGGTACTATTATTGATATTTTAAATCCATGACCAGTGAATAATATGTTCTTTTTGTTTTCTATATAATTTGCCCTTTTAATTAGGATTACTGAGTTGAGGAGTAAAATATTGCTATTTACTTTTCTACTTTTAGTAAGATTGGTGGTTTTCCTCTTTATTTACCCTAACATTAATAGATTTCAAATCAAATTCCTATATAAGTGAGCCACTTTTTACTTTTAAATTCAAAAGAAATGAAAAAATATGTAACAATTAAAAAAATTTAAAATTTTATAAAAAAATAATGAGGAGTTATAAGCATTTTGATTTAATCATCCAAACAACCCTCCCCACAATACATATAGATATAGATTTTTATAGTATTATTTGACTCATTCCCTCTCCATATCTCCATAATTCAGTGCCCCGTTCCTCATTCTCTCTAGAAGAAAGTTGAAAGAGATGGTAAATTGCAGTTTTTTGTAAGATTATGTTGTTATCTCTTATTCTTGGGTTGGAGGAGTTTTAATCAGAATGGAATTGTTAATTGGAGGAGTATTAATTGGAGTAAGAAAGTGTGTGAGACGAGAAGTGCTAGTTGGAATGGTATTCTTATTTGATGAAAGCGTGGTAGTTTATTGAAAACGTGGACATGATGTATTTTACAAAATAAATAAAATGTAAAATACTAAAAAAATGGAATTGAGAGTGGGAAGGTGTGTTAAACCTTGTTGCTAAAAATTCCTTCTCAAATTATTATTTTTTTAAAAAAAATGATTTTATGGCCAAGTAAAAGATCCCTTCATAAATTTTTTTTAGTAAATGTTTTTGTTTCAACGAGTGCCCGTAGGTACTCATTACCATAAATGGAAAATGTATGTTCGGATTGGGATGTGAGTAGGATTGCAAACGAGTCGAATTTTTGCCTAATCGAGTTGAGTCTCTAACTAAATTTATGAAACTTGAACTCGAGCTTGAGTTCGATGAACTCAAAATGTCAAACTCGAGCTTGAGTTTAAAAAATAAAAAATTTATTATTAATTTATTTTACAAAATAAAAAATAATAATTATTTTATTTTTAAAAATAAATAAAAAAATATTTTTTAAAAGAATAATATAAAATATTAGGGATATATATGTAATTTTGCTATTAAATAAAAAATAAAAAAAAATATATATATATATATATATAATCGAACTCGCGAGCGAACTTAATATTTTTGAGCTCGAGATCAACTTGATTAGTTCGAACTTGACTGGAGCTCGAGTCGAGCTCGTATTCGAGTTGCTCGCGATTGGCTCGCGAGTAGCTCGATTCGTTTGCAGCTTTAGACGTGAGGACTGTGAGCTATGTTGATGGACAATTTCTAAGATCCCTGTAAGCGCTACCAACAGTCCAGAGTACAGCTATCAATGGGATTGACCTAGAGTTGGCCAAAAAATCCAAAATCCAATAAACCCGTCCATTAATTTTGAAGGATGGATTTGGTCAGTTGGGTAATGAATTTTGTTGAATTGGGTAAGAACAAGTCAACTTATTTATTAGATTGGTTGGATTTTTTATTTGGCCACTCAATACCCAACTTATTTAAAAATAATTCAAAACAATAAATATAAGATTTAATACACATCTACCCAACCACTTGTATTTAGACATGTGTTAACAATTAATTGACCAATTTGTATACAAAATTGACATATATATGTTTTCAGTCAAATTTTTAATTTTTATTTAAAAGAAAAAGAAATTTAAAATAAAAATTCATGCTTATTTTACTTTTGCAACAATAGTTAAACTTGCTCAGCATCTATAATAATTTATTAAGCCTTTTAAGAGTATGTTGTTTTCCTCCCTTTTTTTCTTGTTTTTTTAATTGTTGTTCTTAGATTACTCCTTACTTATGTTTGTTAATATTCGTGTACCTTAGAATAGAATTTTATATTTGTTCTAATTACATTATTTTACTTTTCTCTAACTTGTTTTATTTCATTGTTAATAATTCCTCATCAATAGTATAATACAACAAATTATATATGTCTCTTAGTTACATTTTCGAGTATAATATAATCTAGCATTCAATAATTTAAATACACAGAATATTACAACTTATAATAGAGCAGATATGAATAGTAAAAGTGTTAAATAAGTTGTGATAAAAATAAGTTTCAATCAATTAGTGGTATTAAAAAGTATAAAGTAAACAAAATTTTTTTAATGTACAATTTATTATCTAAAATTCGCAATACAAACAATATAAAATATTATTTTATTTATGATGTGTTTTCAAGAAGTTTAAGAAGTGAGTGTAGGTTTGTGTGTTAGTATGTGAAAATATATTTATGTATGTAAAAATGTGTTTATATATGCAAAAAAAATCTTTTTGTGTGTTTAAATATATAAGAAAGAGTTTATATATCATAATGTATTATATCCCTTGTTTTAACTGTAACCTTTTGTTAAACAACATAAGAATTTTTTTTTTGTCATTCATCAATTATGTTTATTATATCTACTTCTATTTTTAATCTAATTTAAGGGGAGAGATCTAACTGAAAATTGATTGAAACAAAATTATTATTAAATTAAATAGGTGCACTAAGCACTCGAATAAATTTAAAAGCACAACATATTGAAACAAGTGATGGGTGACCAGTTTGAACCTTGATCTCCCTTAAATCTTTGACGGTGCCAACAGTCCAATTCTGTGGGTTAAACAACCGAAGATTTTTTTTTTTTCTTTCTTTCGAAGATTTTTTTTTTCTTTCAAAGTCCAAAGAGCTTGAATCAATTTTTACAAACCTAAACCCCAAGAGAATCTCAAAAGCCGGTATTCTTTGAGGTCCCACAGGAGACTTATAACTACCAATCCAAACCCCCCCAATCCCGATGTGGGATACATCAAAGGGGATGACACTCCAAACCTCCACGACGGGGGGCTGCTGCTGAGCCCAACTGGAACCCAACCCCTCCAGAGGCGATGTTTCTTTCTTTCAAAATCCAAAGAGCTTGAATCAATTTTTTTAAACCTAAATTTCAAAAGAACCCCAAAAATTAATATTCTTTGAGATTTTACAGGAAACTTATAACTACCAACTCAAATCCCACCAACTCTAATGTGGGATACATCAAGGGGATGACACCCCAAACCTCCGCGACGGGGGCTGCTGCTATGCCCAACTGGAACCCAACCCCTAGAGGCGATGTTTCTTTCTTTCGAAGATTCGCTTGATAAAAATTTGTTCGAAAAATGTATCATAGGCTAGAGTTGTCTTGTCAACAGACAATTATGACCTGCAAAGAGTTGGCCAAAGTTACTTTCCCATTGACATGATGATGGAAATTTTGGTTCGGGTGCCAGGAAAGGGCTGAGGGGATAAAAAACATAAAAAACAAAAAAACCAAAGGACCCAGAAGCACCTAGGAATGAGCATGCAACTAGTAAAACTTATCTAATTGTTAACTAATCTTTCTTTTAAGGGATGATTAAAGAAATCTCCCTTGAGATTTTTGACACTTTCACCGGCTTCTTTTGAAATTTCAAAAATTATACTAACCTCCCTTATTAGAAATTTAGATCCCATTACTTATATGACATGTGGTGAAAGTACTATTCTATCTTAAGACGTTATACTTTATAACAAATGGATATTTGATAAAAGAAATGTTTGGGCATTAAATAAATGAGATTAACTAATTAAATCAGCTTAACAATGATTTCATCTCAAATTAACAACCATCACCACAATCAAAAAATGACAATCAAAAAATGGCACCAATTGCTACTCTAAGATGGTGTCATTTTTGTGATCGATATTGCTTGACAATAACAAGAATAGACAACCTTACACAATCTGATTGAATAATATAGAGGTTTGATAATTAAGTCCTAATGTTTATTGAATTTTGGTTTGAGAGTACACTTGATGTTTTGTCTATTATGTATTTTTATGATTTATGCAATTATCAAAAACTTATTTAGTTTAAGAGATAAATAATACATTTTAGAGATAACAGACTTGTTTTGTTGAATCTTGTGTTTACATAAAACTGATTCATACCTTTGTTGTTAATCTGTTGAATAGACCCATGTACTTTCTGCACCAATACTTTACCCTCACTTTTACCTTACCAACTACAACTAAAAGATCAATTTTTTATCAAACACTTACTTTCACCTTGCCAACTACAACAAAAAGATCAATTGTTTTAACCTCAAATTTAGATGCTCGTACAGATAATTTGATAGATTTGTTGAGCTAGTTTTGTCCTTCATATACTGTTGTAAAGGACAGAAAATATGGCGATTGCAATTTGTACTAGCTATTGCAAAGTTCACTGGTGCTTCAGCCTTCAGCCTGTTGCTACTGCATCTTTTCGAATTTCACTTGTGCCAAAATCCAAGCCAAACTAATAATCCTTTTGATGTACATGTTGATGTTGACGGAGATGACAGAAAGAACAACTGTCACTACTAATCTGCCTGCATTCTACAAACCTGACTTCATTTTCCCACAACAATAAATTAACTCTTCAAATAAAAAAGAGTCTCCCCCATCAAAACAAGTTGTTTCCTGAATACAATAATGATAAAGCTTGAAGCACCAGTTCAAGAAAACTATTACAAACCAAAAACCGTGAGAAACAGGACTGGGAACACACCCTGAAAACCAGGAATTAAGCTCTAAAACTTGTACATAACCACCATAAAGCTATTAGCTTTAGATACCAAAGCTAAACACACAAGTAAACAAAAGATGATACTAACATTTGTTCATAATATAAAACTGCAGTAACCAAGCATCAAAGAGAATTTTGTTTGGAGATTTATCACTGATCTGCAGACTTTAAACTGAAGCAAGTGTATCAACATGCTGGAAAGCCTCGTACCACCTGTACCAAGTGCTATCACCCCATCCAGCAACTTCAGCATACACAGGCCCTACTTCAACAAGCTCCTTCACAACCATATCAGTAATATCATAAGAAAGAAACTTATCCTCCACAGAAATCACAATCCTGGCTTTCTTCCCCTCCTCATCCACAACCAAACAAGGTGTATGAAATCCAGGGCCCTTCATCTTTGGGTAATACCGAGTCAAAGGAGCAAAATCAACACGATGCTTCAGAATCCACTGAGAATAATCCCTCTTCAGTGCAAAAACATCAAACAACATGGCTTCAAGCTTGTTCACACACATAACAGACAGATCCCCACCTGCTTCCCCAAAATACCAGATATCATACTTGTTTCTAACCCCAAAACTAGCAGGAATTTGAGGAGTTGAGGGTTTAAGCCGTTCTTTTTGCACATCAAAACACAGAGTACAATAATTAGTACCAAACCAGTGAAAGTCTCCGTTCCATAAAACCCCTCTGTCATAGTAATAACGAACAGGCAACGTCCCAACTGCATCTTCAGTCACCCTCCATGCCCCAGTCTCTGATGAATATATCAAGAATCTATAGTTGTTACAGTCACTGTCACGGTCTAAACCGAAGCAAACAAGCTTGTAATGATCAGATTTTGAAGGGTCAAAAGCAATATTTGCATAGCGAAATATTGGCATATTATAGTCACCACTGAACCAGGGAATAACCCTGTGCTTGCAAGTTGTGGGATTGTAAACAATCAGCTGGAGGCGATTGTTTTTGAGTTTAATCTGCATGCAGAGCAACCCATTGCAAGAATGCAGGCTATGAATCTCATCTCCTTTTTTCAGAATCCCATCAGTTATAGGGGATGAGACGTTACCAACCGAGTCAACACCCTCTGGGGAAAGCGATATGAGATCGATCTCATTGCGTTCACTATCTGGGCTGAAAAAGAGGAGATCAGAGGTGGGATGTGTCCGGATAGCCCGTGCATGTTGCCGGCGGAAGGCAGGGTCGGAGATAAGTGAGAGCCATTGCTTGGAGACGCACTGGGAGCGTAGGAGAGGCTTTGGGGGTAGTTTAAGTAGAATTTTTGTTACAAGACTTTCTTCGCTGGCTACTGCAACTGCTGATGGAGAGGAGGGAGAAAAGGCATCATCAACTGGGATGTTGAGGTGAAGGTTTTCTTCTTGTTCTTGGGTTGGTTTTGTGGGTGAAGAAGCAGAGGGGTGAAGGAAGATTTGCCTTGGGTTCGTTATGGGTTGGAAGCGGGAGAGTTTTGCTTTCATGGCTATGGAATCGTTGCCGCCGGGAAGCATGTTTGATGGGAAGAAGTTGGAAGGGTTGGACCTCTCGGGGATGGAGATGAATTGGTTTGATGACGGATGGGAGGGTGAGAGAAGTGGGCTTTTATGGTTGGGTAGAGTCCTCTTTCAAATTTCAAATTTTGGGTAGAGTTCTTATGATTTGTTTGGATTTTTTTTTTTAATTACTATAACAATTTAATATGCGTAGAATAAAAAATAATTAAATATCCACAAAAATATAAAAATTACAATCCAAACAGGCCTAAATTTCTTGTTGATGGGGATGGGATTCTTGAATGGGGTAATTAAAAGTTATCAAAAGGGCGGAGGTTGGATTAAACCTAGTAATAAACTGACCAATCATGGACACAACAGTTTCTTTTTCCGAAGTCATAACCTAATAAATATCAAAGGGGAAAAAAAAAAAGAAATATCAAGGTGCTATTTGAACTGAACAGAGAAAGAATAAATGTGCAAGAAAGTAAGGTAAAAGGAAATGATTTTAAAAGAATATGGAAATATAATATATGCAATTTAAGCAAAATTTTGTAAGAATATAAAATTTAGTATTACTTAATGGCAATTATTAAAAATTATTGGTGTCTAATAACCTTTTTTTCTTCATAGCTTATCAAATTGGCATGCAGGACTTGAGATACTGGAAAGAGCAACGAAATTTTCCCATTAATCAAAATCATACATAAAGGAAACAGTAAATAATTTTCCTCCACCATCTCACATTTTTTTTCCATACAAGGAAAATTAGGAGGAAAATAAATCACCACTGGATCAATCGAGAATCATGAATATTTAGAATACAAGTTATAAGATTTGATTTTTTGACCTATATCCAACAAAAGTTTTAGAACTCTCCTTGTCGCCAACTACTCCTATTTTATCGTACAAACAAACACTAACCAAAAAGCTTAGAGTTATCTATGTGCTAAGAGTTATCGAGAATCGGATACTTGTACAAGAGTTTTCTTACACTTTCCTTAGTGTACAACTATCCCAATGGCTTAATTCTCACTCTCTATGTGTTTGGATAATTCTTACTCTTTCCGTTCCAAATTACTTATAACATTTCGAGATTTCAAATTTTTTAAAAAGGATAAAATATCAAAAAATTTCCTGTGATTTAATAAATGTTCAATTTAACTCCTTGTCATTTGGAAACCTACACTATAACTCCCTATGCTTTCAATTAAATTGAAAAAGGTAAAATACAGAAAACCTCATTGTGGTTTGGCTATTTGACCTCCTCATTATTTAAAAACACCTACACTACCCCCTTCGTGCTTTGGACTAGAGTGAAATTTAACCGGTAACTTGTATGCTACCTGAAAGTGATGTATTATTATTTTTTTAATATTTTTTATTTTATTGTCATTTTTTCTTTCAATTTTGGTGCTTTGACTTAACTATCATAGGTATCTTTACAAATTTTATAGGAGAAATCTTGCTCCTTCCTTTTTTTTTCCTTCAGTTTTCATTTTTTCTATTTTGCTTTTCCCTTCCACTTTCCTTTCCTTTTCCTCCTTTACTCGATCCAAAATCTTCATCGCCAAAATCTACCATAGCACCTCGCAGAATCTAGGTGAATCTTGCTGCCCAAAGAATCCCAAAAATCTGGGCACTTCCACTGTCAATTCAGTCTGCCTTGATCTGATAAATCAATTCATCTTCATCCAATTTTATCAGGGGTTCGTAAACCTTGATCTCCATCATTCACGCAACTCTCTAGCATTGTTGAATTTGGAACTTCGTTGCAATGGCTAACAAAGTGGCAGCGACAATTTATGTCTCTTGGGTTGTCTATTTATGTCTCTTGGGTAGCTGAAAGTTTCGTGGTATGGTGATGGTGGTAGTAATGGCTAACAAAGTGGCAGCGGCAATGGCAGCAATAGCGGCGAAAGGAAAAAGAAGAAAAGAATTACGCAGTGTGGCAATAGCAGCGCCCTATTACCCGAATTATGCAGATTAAGGTTGTAGGACATACTCTCAGAAGTTGGGTCAGACGGGCTAGATTCAACAACTTCAAATTGGAGCATCGGTTCCTCTAGAGCATCAGATTGGAGTGGGAGCTCAAGATTCTTCATCTTCTTAGTCGGCCTCTATTTGTTAGGCTTAGGAGGAATTACCCGATTATCCCTATTTTTTGCGGTTAGGGCCTTGGAGGAGTCGAATTTGGTAACGAATTCTTTTGACTCTCCGCCGTCGGTGGCAGTGGCAAAGGGTTTCTTGAGGGTCGAATTTTGGGGCTTTGAAAGAGAGCTTCATCTTAGCAAAGAATTGAAAGAAAATTCTAAATTAAAATCTCCGATCCCCCAAAAACCTACAAATAAAGGCGAGGACTACCTGCCAATGACTCTCTAATGCAATTGATGCAGCAATTTTGCCTGCAATTATATAGGGCCAGCAAGAACCCAACCCCAAGGCTAGCAAGAAGCCAAAGAAGAGGTCGCCGCCTCCCAGGTGTCACCAAGAACCGTTGTTGGATCCATTGAGAGGAGCCGATCCAATGGCGGCGGACCCCGTTATCGCATTGGTAGGGTGTCTCCGGCGATAGAGCCGCCATCTGCGAAGGTTTTGGCATGTGGGTTTTGCACTTGCAGTGCTTTTGGGAAACCACCACCTGAAAAGACTCGTCGGAGACCTCCCAAGCATGCTTCGATATTGTGAGTTGTGGAGAATGTGAAATGGAAGAAGAAGGAGAGGAAGAATAGAAAAGAAAAGACAAAAAAAAGGAAAGGAAAGGAAAATAAAATTAAAAAATAAGTAATAGACAGACTACCGGTTCACAGCAGGTCAAAAAGCGTAATTCCACTCTAGTCCAAAGCACGAGGGAGTAGTGTGAGTGTTTTTAAATAATTAATGAGGAGGTAGCGTGTCAATTAGTCAAATCACAAAGAGGTTTTCTGTATTTTACTCAATTGAAAATTGAACAGAAAGCATCCAACGTAGAGGTTATATATGAAATATCAATATTATCTCTATATAAATGACCTTTTTTTTATTTGAAAAATTACATCATGACTTCTCATGATTTTGATTAAATTAAAAATTAAATGAAAAGCTAGGAGCTTGCATTTTAAAGTGATGGCAACCAGGTAACAGACTTTATTCTCAAAGCGTTAACTTTACCAAACGAAGAACTATACAGGAAAGCTGAAGCTTGCGAGATTGGCCATTGCACTGTTTGCAAGCCTTCTAGCCACTGGATCGCCAGCAATAAATCCTTTCTTTTTGAATACCGATTAAAAGTTCTGCACGCCTTGCAGACTGACACGGGCATGCCCGTTACGAATGCAAAGTGGCAAATAAGGAGCCTGGTGTCTACGCGCCACCGAGAATGGCCTATGTTCCTAAAAACCCAAGGCAAAAATTTGGTCTGAACCTGATCCACGACCCTACATGTAATCGATATTCTCTCTCACTTTTTATTATATTAGGAGTGTTTGGATTGCAAATTATTTTAAATAATATTTTACTTATATTATAAACATATTTTTAATTAATTTTTTTATATTTTTAATCATCTTTTTACCTTAAATACGTCATATCACAAAATATGCTACAATAATTATTCTAAATAATATTTCAAATAATACTCTATCCAAATAAATCATTGTTATTTCTTATTCACAGACATCATGCTTTATTTCTATTTTGTTTCTTTAAGATTCATTAACTATTAACTTAGCAAAAAATAAATACAACAATCTCAAAAGCAATATATAATAGAAAATTAAAAAATATAGTAAAAAAATTCATAAAAAATCTCATTTTTTATGCATTTTAATTTTTTTTAGTTTGTTAAATTTTGTGTATTATTCAGTTAATAGTTATTTGATTCTAATGAAACAAAAAATAATAATATTTATAAAAAAGAAATAATAATATAATAAAAAGCAAAACGGAGAGTGAACCAAATATTTGGACAAAAAATCCGTTGCGCATTTTTGAGCACTTTGTTTGCCATCTAAATTTGATTTTCAACAAAGTCAAAATTTAATCCATTCCTCCCTGAGCAGCGTATAGATTTGAACCAGTCCACAAAGTTATCAATAAATGAGATATCAACCAGTCTATTTTTCAAAGGTATCTTCTAACATTTTTTAGCCATAATCATTCCAAACAATGGCTACTACCCATAGCCATATACATACAAATCAATAACTAGTTTTAATAAATGTTCCAGAATTTTCTTCTTCCTTTTTTTTCCCCCCAAAACTCCATCTTATCGTTGTATTAAGATCTCCCTACCCAAAATTAAAAAAAAAAAAGATAACAAAAAAATCCTCAAAACCCCCAAGATCTTGATTTTTTTTTTTCTATTTAAACATTTGGGCTGTTTATTTTCAAAATTATAGATCATAAAATTGATCTGAAACCTAACCTTAGGCTTTTTGGGGAAGAGGTGAAGGCGACATGGAGTAGAACAAAGCGATAGTGACAGTTGGAAATTGGCGAGAAAGAGCGAGGACATTGGGTTCAAAACGAAAGAGTGCCTGAAAAAAGGGTCATACAGTTGGCTATCAATCTCTCTTGGCTGGCAAATGTTACCTCCTCCCGAGCAAGGGCTACTAGGTAATGGCAGTGATGGAGTGGAAGTTTGAGAGGAGAATGAGAGGAAGGCTCCAAGTGCTGTTTGGGCTTCATCTGGTATTTGAATTATTAATATTATTAAGCAGTGGCACCAGAAAACCGGGCTTTGGGTGGTCTACGTGTTGGGCAGAAATGGTTCCAATAGGACACCGGCGGATGGTGGCTGTGGGCAGAGGCGGAGTTCAGGCAACCTTCCTTTCGTCTAACGAGGGGCTGTTGAGGAGCCTTCTTTTTTTGTAGTCTAGAGATGCAAATACACAAAAATAAGTAACTTCCAATCCGCCCCACCAAAATAATATATATATATATATATATATATCCTTATCCTTATATTATATAAGATTGAGTTTTGATCAAAGAATAGATTGAATTTCAATCGTATAGGTGGGGGTTTTCTGGGAATGTGAAATATTGTGTATTAGTTTAAAAACTTTAGGTAGAAGTTAAGGAAGCATGTATT